TGATCGACCAGATTGTTGGTGTTGGAATCAGACAGGTGTTGGCTTTGGTTTCTGAAAGAATGTGCAAAACTTTGAAACACTTTGTTCATTAAAGATGCGAGAACACATGGGGGCTTGGTGAGGTGGCATGAGTAACAGGCGAATCGCAGCTAAAAACAATACATCTGTGGTCAGATATGGTCATGTCCACTAATTCCACAGAGGAAATGCTGACACCCAGGGTAAAAACCAAGTCCAGGGTTTGCCCTTTGACATATTGTTTGAAGTTAAAAGAAGTGGCCATATTTAAAAAGTCAGTTGCATTAACATTGGTGGGGTCATCAACATGAATATTAAAATCGCCACAAAGAACAATTCTGTCATAATTTAAAACCAGAGTAGATAAAAATTCAGGAAGTTCTGATAAAAATCCTCCACGCGGTTTTGGGGGGAGATAAATTATAACAAATATGATAGGTTGCAGCCCTCCAACTTTTAAGAGTGAGAACTTAAAAGGAGTTAAATTCATCACAGCGTACTTGATGACATTTTAAATATTTCCTATACACGCTCACTAGCCCACCACCACGACCACTGACCCTCGGTTGACTAAAACAATCGTATTGAGGCGGACACAGTTCAGCTAGCTGGCTATAGTCATTCATTTGCAACCAGGATTCAGTTAAAAAATCTAGATATGCAGACAAGATAAAATCATTTAAGATAAAAGTCTTACTTGAAAGTGATCTCACATTGAAGAGAGCCATTTTAAATGTGTTTGTTCTAGGTGCTGGAGTTGGTGCAGTTGTCCTAATCCTTAAGAGATTACTAATATTTTTGTGTGGGATGTGCACATTTCGGTTTACTGGTCTATGCGTGATGATGACAGGAATAGAAGTCTTTGGAACAACGCTGGGAGCAGACAGTTTTACATGCCAGCAGGTGGAGACAGTTGTTTGTGGCAGTGAGGCAGAGATCTGTTCAGTGAGCGGTGGTGTGTCCAGGTGTGCTGCATGAATGATTAGTCATTCACGTAAGTCATGTGTGGACCGCACCACATGCTGTATGTGAGCAGCTAACATTTCTGAGCCCTGTTTGTTTGGGTGAAGACTGTCTGTCTTAAAAAGAGACATTCTTTGCCAGAAAATATTAAAATTATCCACATAACACACACGGTGAGCCCTGCAGGCGGACTGGAGCCAGTCGTGGAGGCCAAGGAGTCTACTGAAGCGGCCAGCACCGCAACCAACTGTGGGAATGGGACCAGAGATAAAAACGGACTTTCCACACTGCTTTAAAAAGTTAAAAAGACGGTTAAAATCTGATTTTGTCAGCTCAGACTGCTGAAGATCTGTGTCATTTGTTCTGACATGAACTATCACTCTTGTGATGGAGGACGGGAGCAATGGCATTAGGTCCTGGAGTTTTTTTTAAATGTCAGCCGTGGTGGCACCGGGGAAGCAGTGAGTGGTAGCGTTAATGATGACTAAAATCCTTAACCCACGTAAAAATTTAAGTTAAAAACTCAAGTTAAATAAAAAGGATATAAAAATGTAACGAAAAATAATGGATTAAAACTGGATAAGAGTCCGGTTTAAGACGGAGCTTCCGACAGGTAGCTACAGACGCCAACGCATGCGCAGAGTGCAGATTACGTCAGCAATTACGTCAGCAATCTTGTGACTTAGAGGGTATTACATTTCAGATTGTGACAGGACTGCACCATCACCTTACTTTCCTGCTATTCCTGCTGTCCAAAAAGAATGACCAGTGTATTCTAGGACACTGTTGGTCTGGGTTTGTACAAAGTCTTAGTTTTGAAAAAGTAGGTCCTGTTTTTCCCTGACTGGAAATTCTTTTACATTTATGATAGTTTTTTGATTTTAGGTACCTTGAAAGCAATTGGGTATTTCTAATTAAAAGCTATATATCTATACAGCTGCTTTTTTGAAAACATGTTAAATGTTTACCTTTCAATTTTTAGCCTTATTGTATGTCCTATCTGAAAAGCTTCAATGTTGACAATTGTTCATCTCCTATGAACGTTTGTGTTCATACAGTCAATAAATCATTCCTCAATGTATGCATTTATGTAGAATGTTAAATATTTTGAAAATTTTTATTTATGTTATGAATATTCATTTTCATATTGTTGAAGAAATGTTTTATAATATGGATTGACATTGCCAATAAAAAACATTTTGAACAAGTATACAGTTGGGTTACTTTTGAAACATTTGAAGAAACTGTAAATAGATAATAAATAAAATGAAAATGTAATTTATACATTTTGTGCAAAAATAAAGGAGAAAATACATTTGCAGTTACATATTTACAAGGTCATAGTCATGTATATTTAATAAGGGAAACAAAAAATTTTGTTGTGTTACTTTCGACTGTCCTGTGTGTCATTTCTGTCATAAAAAAGGTCACTGGAAAAGAGACTGTATGGCGTTTAAGTTGCGGAATAGGCAAGATGTGACTCGTGAAGCTGGTGGCTTTAGCGGTACCAGTTTTCAGACCAATCCAGTGTTGAGTTACCAGCTGTAGTATCAAAGCCAGACTTAAGCTCATACTTGCCTTTTATTTCAAAAGGACATGTGTCTTTGGTTGGAAATGAGAGGGTGCTGGTGACTATTTTACGGGACACGGAAGCATTTGATTCATTTGTCCTGGCCTCTGTTTTGCCTTTTTCTGAGGAAACGGATACGGGATCATTTATACCTGTGTTGGGCATGGGACTGTCTGTTTTTAATGTTCCAGTACATAAACTTGTTCTCTATTCAGAGTTGTTAAAATGGGAGTGCGTCCTGCTTTGCCTATCGACGGTGTCACCGTGATTTTGGGGAATGATGTGGCAAGAGCACGTGTTTGGGGAAGTAATCTAGTACATCCAGTGGTGTTCCCAGTAACGCTGGGTAGTGATGGCCCTGATAAGAATGAAAAGCAGTTTCCTGAAGTGTTCACGGCTTGCGCTGTGACGTGCACCATGAAGTAGGCAACTGACTTTGTAGATTCTGTGGAGGTGGAAAACGTAGAGGGTGAGTCATCTGAGTTGTTTGCAATGTCTTTGTCTAACACACCCTTGTCTGTCTCCCGTAGTGAATTTGCGCGAGCCGATGTAACACTGAAAGAGCTGTTTCTGTTCTGCGGGTGGATGAGGTGAAAAATCGGGCACATGGTTATTTTGTACAAAATGAGGTACTGATTCGGAAGTGGGTGCCACATGGTGAGGGTTTTGTTGGAGATCCTGTTTATCAGATTGTCATGCCCTCCAAATTTCGTGATGTGGTTCTGTGTATTGGTTTCAAGCAACAACTTTACTCTGCTGCAGAGGTAGCGGAAAAGTTGGCTTCGGCACAGAAGAAAATGAAACGTCTGTATGACCGCAGAGCTGAACGGTGGCATTTTAGTCATTTAGTGCTTAGTAATCCAGTGTGTGTTTGTAACACAGTTCTGTCTGGTATTGGAGCCGTTTGTGAGGATGATTTTGGTATTGACCGACCTGTGGGTTTTTATTCGAAACTGTGCTGCCCAAGTCAAAGACTTGTTAGGTGGTCTTTATTTCTCCTGTCCTATAATTTGGATATACATCATGTAAAAGGCAGAGATAACATTGTAGGACATCAACTTCAACTACCTCTAGCTCAGTATGAGCCTGCTAGACGTCTTACCTTGTGAAGAACCGTATGTCCTTGTCTGAGCCACAAAAATGATGAATGCCAAACCGCTGATTAATAGTCAGTTTCACAATTTGTTCTCAGCTGGAAGATCTCCTCTCTGAGAGACTTGTTTTCATCCAGAGCTAAGTTGACAACTGGGGGATTGCCTCCTCGCCCCGTGTGTCATCCTCTGTGTCCTCCGCTAGCAGCGGTCACTCTGTCCTCTCTCATACCTCCGGTCTTGAACGTGGAAAAGTGAAATTGTTCCACTAAACAACCCTGGAACAGCTCCCTTCTTTAACAGACGCCGCCCTGTCTCGGATCCTGGCTCACGAACATCCTCTTTTTTTAAAATGCTGGCTACAAACTTGAGTATGGGGGGTAACCGTAAAGTTCTCTCTCCAGATAGCGACAATCCATTTTTGCTACATCAGAGTGAAATGTATGAAAACTAAGTACTTGACACAAAGGCACACAGCAATGTTCAGCTGTAGAACTATCTGTGCACTGAAATTTAAACTTCTTCTCAGACATATCGTTTGCCAAAAATCATAGCAGTGGGATAATAGCAGAAGTGGTTTAGCTGGCGGGGAGTTTTAAGCGGAAGTACGTCAGCGCCACAGTGTGCATGTAGCCTATTGGAAGAGAGATTGATCCATTGAGTTTCCAGAAATCTTCTATTAAACTAAATAGTTATCAGGACATCAACAGGAGGGAATTTGCATGGCAGAGCATCACTGCAAAACTGTATCTATAAGGTAACCTTACCTATAATTTTAACTTCAGTTAAATAGGCTACAGCTGTGTAGGCACAGAATGTAAATGCTCCGTACTTGTATAGCACCTTTCTAGTCTTTTCGACCACTCAAAGCACTTTTACACTACATCCACCAGTCACACACATTCATACACTGAGCCTAAGTGCTCAAATGGAAACTAACATTCACACTCATTCATACACTGGCGGAATAGCCGCCAGGGGCAATTCGGGATTGAACCGCCAACCTTCCGATTAACGGCCAACCCGCTCTACCGCCTGAGCCACAGCCGACCCAGAAGCCGTTGCCATTGTTACTATCCATAGAGCGCCTGCCGTTTACTGTTGCTTCCCCACTGAAAATGCCTAGGCTTATTATAAATTTAAAAAAACTCCATTCTCTATTCCTCTGGGACAGTTAGTTACTGTCCATTGTCCCTGTGAGTAAAACCCAAACCAAAAAACAATTATTCTAATGTGGTTATTTTCTTTATTATTTTAACATGCTGTTTGAATGAAAAAGGGTGCTTTAAAAAAAGGAGCTACAGAAGGCACTCCGCTGCACCGCGCACACAGGTTTCCATGGCGACGTGAGGGAGGGGTGGTTTTCCAGCCACCGGAAACGGTCTCTGCAGTGGCAGCAGAAAATGAAAAGGAGGCAAAGCTGAGATTTATTTTCATGTATCATCCTGGACAAATGTGTGTTGAATGCGACTGTTACGTGGAAACAGTGTGGAGACACCCGGTGGCATGACTGGACTCCTGTGTGCGCGGTTTGATGAAGTAGTGCGCCGACTGTTTTGGAAACATCGCACCGGCCGCGAGTAGATTGTGTGGGATAGTAAGAGCGGTCCTGCCCCCTTCAATGACCAACCTACAGCGCTAGCGATAAAACTTCGCTGGCGACACCGCAACCATGGAAGGCTACCACGGGTATTCGTAAGCAGTATTGCTGCAGAGCTCTTGGTCCGCAGTAAAACGGTTTCAACATGCCCGACCGGCGGTGCTACACGAGGCTATCAGTTGCCTGATAATAACGTTAAAGGCCTGCTTTTTCCATCTGGAAATTTCTTTGCAGGGGAAGCAGGCCAGCTAGCACTGCTAGCGTTAGCCTTTCCGCGCTGCATTTCTGGGCTTTGGCGGTGCAGGTTTTTCCATGACTACGCCATCGACTTTGGTGTGTAATTCAATGACTGTTTAACTCAACGTATTGTATGGGATTCATATCGGCGAAAGAGAAGCGGGCCTAAGCCAAAATGGTGAACTGGAGGCGGCTGCTGCGAATGTCCAACCGATCATTTCTGGCCTTCATATTCTTCTTTTCCATGTCCACCACTTGTCTCTACTTCATTTATGTGGCTCCTGGAATAGGTTAGTTAACCGATGTTTACACTAAACGCTTTACAAGGTAACATTTAATGTGATTATGTGTGGATTATCTTCTGCAGCCCAACACGCTCCACCTGCTGTCACAATCAGTGAGCTAACAGGCTAACTAGCTAAAAGGTCCAGCCGAGGCATGATGTCCAGCTAACCTAGCCCTGTTTTACTAAGTTAAAGAGGAAACTGCTACTCCTATTGGCACTTGGATTGAAACATTGCCTAAATATTGTCCTCTTGTGTTGGATACATGGATGCTATGCGCTGTAAGTGCCAGTGCACAGCTAAACTGTAAATGAATGAACTGTGGGCATCACTGCTACTTTTAATTTCAGGGGTCATACTCAGGCAACCACGGTCCACACAGCGACATGGGCAGGTTGAGCCAGTCCATGAGTGGGCCCAAATGTGTCCAGTTTCTTTGAATTTCTGGTTAATATTACTTAACGAGTACCCCAGAGTTTTGTCTTGTTTGTGACATTTAGGACACAACTCTTGTGATTTTTACAATATACTTTAGCTGTCTAAAGTGTGTAACGTCTATTATGTTTAATCTTTGTAAATAGTAAATTTAAATGAATTAGAGATCCATCCCATAAACTTTGTCTTTATCTGCTGCCGTTTATATTGTATTTATTTTATATTGTTAGGATTTTATTGAAGCTATTTATTGGTTCTGTTCTTTATCTATATGGATTTGCATTACTAAATTGCCTTTTCAAAAATATCTGATTTTAAAAACGAATTTCAGAACAGGAATCAAATTTAATATTTTATTATAACTAAATGTTTTCAGAGCAGCAACAAAAGTAAAGTTTACAGCAGCAAAGTCACTATATAAAATCACTAAGTTTAGAAAGAAGACATTCCTCTGCTGCTGCTGTAGAGAGGAGCTGGTTTCTCTCAACAAGCATCTGAGTTTACAAGGATTTGCCAAATTGTATGGTACATAGCATCTCAGTTAAACAGGCTATACAGACACAGGTTTCATTTTCGCTTATTTATAACTAGCTATTAGCAGAGCTATCACATGTGCTTGGGTAAAACCAAAACACAGCTGCGGTGGATGAGACAGCAGATTAGAATATCGCTCTGTACACGTTCCTGCTTGGTCGAACTGATGCAGTAGCAGCCTTTTACTAGTACTGCAGGTTATGCTACACTTACAGTAACGAGCGTAGTTATGGTCAACTTGTGTAACCAATATAGACTGTTTTTCATGTGCAAGAATTTAATAAATGAAAATAACCCACAATTAATATTAGGCCTAGCAGTGAGTGGACTTTATATGAAAGTTTAATGAATATAGTAGGTGGGGTTGTTAACATGTAATACTAATACCAAACCAACAACACATAGGCTACACTGCAGACAAAAAAGAGGCTGAGGCAGAACAAAAAAAATTGAGGTTGAAGTTTATAAAACATATTTAATGTGATGTCTTAAGTACATTTAATAGCTATAATTTTTTTTAGCATTTTGCTTAAAATTTATTTATCTAATACTTATACTAATACTTATATAAATTTCAATCTGGTGCCTTCTTTAAGTTTGGATTTGACAGAATATCTTACTCCCTCAAATAAAAGGACAGAAACAAATGTATACGGCAATTTATTATTTTGGCTGGTGGATTTTTTTGTTTTTTTTCATCTACCAGTCCCACAGGCAGGTCAGCCTAAAAGTTCATTTCCGCCCCTGACACACACACTCTGAAACACACTGAAACTGGTGTACTGGCCAATAGGAGAAGTTACAATAGGGCTGTATAATACGATGGTAGGCCTTAATATTGTGAAACAGTCTAAATTTGTTAGCCTTCAAAGATTTGGCTTTACTGTTGTCACACATTTAGTTTGATCTAATAGCCAAAGCACGCACGCTTGTCTTTCAGTTAATATGGTGAAAATTACATTACCATATCTATGGTGCACAAGGGATGGGTCATGACTTTCGAATAGTCATTAATATTGTAAAAAAAAATCTAATAATGTATGTCTAGGGATGGACCATACGATTAATGTATGATTACCATATTGGTCCGAATATAAGATGGGATTTTTCTTCCTGGAAATTCATCTTGAAAACTCACGTTGTCTTATTTTTGGGTTCTAGCACTTCAAATGCCTATATTTGGGACTGGCGTCCATATGATCACGAAAACCAGACCGTGCGTCTAATGGAGACCTGCGTTTATTCGTCAATGTGTTCCCACACCAGGGGTCTTATTTATAAAACTGTGCGTAGAAACCTCACTAACAGTGTACATACTCCCAAAAGCCAAAAATGGCGTACGCCAAAAAATATTCAGACTTATAAAACCATGCGTGCGCTCTGGCAGGTGGGTCTGAGCTTGGTGGTACCGTATGGACCCAGTGCGGCGTTGACTCAACCTCCCTCGCCTCTAACCCAATAGCAATAGCCTTAGAAGGCTGCACCTATACTCATAGAATCCGGAGTTACAATACGTAACTGCAGTTTCTGTGCTACTACCTTGGCTGGTTCAGGTCTGTCATGGACAAGCTGACTCCCAACGAAACCATGGTACTAAAAGACATCTGCACTGGTGTAACTGTCGCTTTACCTGTTTCGTTCTTGTAAAATATATCCACTGTGTCTGCATCTTGCAATGCAATAGATAACATCTCTGTCTGTAAAATGCTACAGTGGTTCGCCAAATATACCTGGGCTGCCTGCCCAAGTAATGTCTATGTGTGGGAAACACTGTTTTCATCTGTTATAACACCTGACAGGGAACATCATCTGTAATGGAGTGATGTTTTCCTTTGAATGTCACATGGAGTTGGCCGCTTCTCTCTTTTTTTTTTTAGGCTCTAACTTGAAGTCAAACCATTCCTTCTTTATTTCTGCCACAGTACTTCTCTCTGAAGATATGGCATAGACAGCTTTGCTGATACTTTCTAATTATTTTGGGTTTTCTAACATGACTGCTGACACTGAAGTATTTACTATAATTCTGTCTGCTGATTTCTCATTTTATTTACTCTTAGTTAAACGAGAGTTTGGTGAACCTGACTTGGAACACTCATAATAATTACTTACTCATTAGCTAATTAGTGATGCAAACCAGTCCTTTTAAGCCATTGAGGAGCCATTTATTTTTGGATTTGAATGTGCAAATAAAATGCACCTCAGAAGGGAGGAGGTTTCTCATGTTGCCTATTTTTTATATTAATGTCTACAGATAAATGTCAGAAGCTGTAAAATGAAGACACAAAGCAAACATGAACAGTTGTATCTATAATGATTCTGAGGTCACATTAACAGGGTTTTCCTGCTGTTAAGGCTTAGGGGTGACGCCCAAAACATGCTGTGCCATCACTGTGGAGCAACAGAACCAATCAAATTACTTTACCCAGATCTAAAGGTTGTAGTTCCTCCAGTAGACTGATCTTTGGCTGTTGGAAAAGCTAGAGCAGATAATAAATAACCAACTATTTGTTCAGAGATATGGTGAAAATAATGGCCCAATATGATGTGAAATTACATATTTTTTATTGGAAAACGTAAACCCCACCGTCCAACACCAGAGCATTCATCTAAAGCTCACATTACGCTGGGACTACAGGGAGACAGGGAGGACAGCTGCTCATCCTCACACTGGCAGACCACATGCGACACGTGACACACTTGAGATTATTTTCATATGAGATCAGCATATAATAAAAGTGATTTTCTTTTTCTCCACACAGCTTGGGTCAAAAGAGGTGTCACTCACCTTAAATTTTCAACTTTAATTTAAGCCAAATATTAAATATTTCTTTTATTGTTGATTCATGGTGCGTTCCAGCTGGTCCCAGTATCCACTTCTGTGTTGTTGTAGTTGTGATAAATGTTTCCAGTGTTTCTGTCTTCAGCTTGAGAATCATATTTGTGTTTATGACAATAAGTGAGGGGATGTAATGGCATGAAGCAGATATAATTGAGCATATGGAATGCAATTGGTCAAGTGAATTAAAATCTCTTTTATGTCTTTCTGTCAGCCAACACATACTTCTTCATGGTGCAGGCTCAGGGCATCATGTTGAGGGACAACGTGAGGACCATTGGCCAGATGATCCGATTGTACACCAACAAGAACAGTACACTCAACGGGACGGGTAAGTGACACACACACACACGCACTTACCACATTGACTTGAGAAAAGCTGCTGTTTCTACTTTCCTTCCAAAGATGCGACCAGACTGACCAGCATGTGTGTACATGGTAAGTTATGCTCATTTTCAGGTTCAAAAGGCCATTGCTAGTGATGAAATTCCATATGGAAACTGTAAAATATAAACCTTTCTGTTGCTGGCCTCTGTCTGGTGCACGCGATGATGATGCAGTGAATAGTGAATATTCTCTCTGACCAATCAGCAGTCTGTCGTGTTTTCACATTACATTTTAGTATCCCTCAGCTCGCTTGGAACCTCGATGGAGGTGAGGTGAGTCGAAAAAAAGTACCTGGAAGTCGAGCCAAAGGGCCTCCGCTCAGACTAGCTTGGTTTGAGGGCGTGCCTGACCCCGCTAGCTGCTTGGCAATCTTTATAATGCATTTTCATCGTGACGTCACAGTAAAGGAAGTGAAGGGCTGGACTACAAATGAGCTGTTTTCAAGCGGTTCAGAGCAGTGCTTTCTGTGGGAGATGGGAACTCCCTTTGGGCTGGACTTTGGGCTTTTTCACTTTGCAAACCTGTTACATGCACAAAAAAGATATATAACTCAATAAAGGAGAGGGGGGGGGGGGGGGGCAAAAAGCATAATTCCACCTCTTTAAAAGTTAGCAGCAATGCCAGCCACATTTACAGTTTGCTATAGTGCTTTTCTAGATACTCAAGTTTAGTTAAGAAAGTAAAGCCAATAAAGTTTATTAAAAAGCAACTTAAAAGCCCATGCCCCCTTCAGCTATAAAAAAATGTATTCAACCTTGAACCTTAGACAGGCAGAACAGGGGATGTGGATGAATGGGAGATGGAAATCACTGGTCAACACTGTAAACTACTAGTATTTCTACTACTGCTGCATGCATCAGTTATATGCTCATCCTTCATGCTCCACATTGTCAGTGGAAAAAAGGCCTGCTCAAACTCCAAGTGCATTTCTGGATGTGAGTTTCAGCAGCAGAGGAGGAGAGGAATTGGGAAAGTTGTTGCTTTAATTTGACCACCTTGGCGTTGAGGTGCTCTAATCCTGCACAATATCCTGTAACTAAACTATAACTTAAAGTACAAGTTTATTATCAAAGTGTAGTGAAGTACAGTGGAACAATGATCAAGTATAAGTACCTCAAATTTGTTAGTACAGATGTTGAGTAAATGTACTTTCCACCACTGTATTATGCATCAATCTACATAGAGGGATTTTGAAAGTGAAGTTAGTTACTTGCTCTTCACCCACTTTGGTGATCTGTCTGATGTTTGTTGTTAATGCTGCAGACTATCCTGACGGTAGTAACTCCAGTGAATACCTGGTCCAACCAACCACGTACCTCCCTGAGAACTTCACCTACGTCCAGAACCTCCCCTGCCCAGAGCGATTACCTTCTATGAGTGAGTAGACTGGTACCTCAATAATTTTTTTTTATATAACTCCAATTCCTAACAAAAGCTATCTCATTGTACTTTTCAAATAGAGCAGGTCTTGACTGTACTCTATGTGATATTATTAACAGAGACCCAACAGTTCTTATCATGAGCCAGCGCTTGGCGACATACTTGATGAAAAACTGCTGCCAACACAATATCCCCTCAGAAATACAAAAACAGTAAAAATGGTAGTGGTACAGACTGAAAGTGAAAGACAACGAGGGCCACAATGGAAATAAGTTTGTAACTTTCTTGTGTTATCCTCGACAGTAATATATAATGTCACTGTGATGGCATCTTGTTATGCATTTTTTTTACTGTCTAGTAAATCAAATAAAAAAAATTGAACTTATAATGATAGTAATATTAATGATAACAATAATAGGACTCTACAACTTCAGAGCCAGAAACACCTGCAGAAAGCAACAGAAAGAGAGAGGGCAGGGACAAGAAAGCACAAGACTATGGGAGAAGGTAGAAGGCGAGTTAGTAACATGCATTAATGTGATAATGCATGGAGATGGAGAGAGTGGAGCTCAGTGCATCATGGGAAGCGTAGGCCTATAGCAGCATAACTAAGGGATGGTTCAGTGAAAGTAATATAGTAACGTAACTAGTTACTTTTATCACCCTGTAGTAAGTAAAGTAATATTTTTACTTTTTTAAGGAGTAAATTTTCTGAGTAACGGACAAACAGCTTTACAGCAGGTCACTAAGTTGAATACATCCGAAGAAAAAGGAATAAGTAACGTTAGTATTAGTTGTCCATTGGTTTATTCGAAGTAAGAAAAGAAGAGAAATTTGGACACATGGAGGGCCCACATGTATTATTTAGCACAAGAGACAGAGTGTGTTGGTCACCGTAGCTTCTCCTGGTCACTTGGAAAGGGAGGGACATGGGACATAAAGAAATATACAGTACTTTTTTTTTTTAGTGATGGCGAGATGGAGCTTCATGAAGCATTGAAGCTTTCCATCCAGTTGGTTCACTCATGGGCCGAAGCTTCACGGTGCTTGATTTGCTCTACTGTGCCATCCAGTGGACAATAAATGTAAAACAGGCAGAGTGATTATAAGGCAACACAGCTTTGGTGTTTGAAGCTTTGAATTGAATAAATTAATGAATATAATATAATAATAACCCTTATTTGTAGAGCATTTTTCAAAAACAAGTTACAAAGTGCTTTAACAAGTGTAAAGAATAATACAAAAAAAAAGATAAGAGCATGAAAAATTAATATAAAATTGATTGAATTGAATGCCATGTTTGTGATGCCAATATATGACTGATTAGCTTTTTAATAAGGTGTGTCTTTATGATACGATGACGGTGTCAAAAGGAAAGTGGAAACAAGGGAGAGGGTTATGATAACTTGGTTTGTGACTTTAGATGATAGAGACAACATTTTATCATCTTTATTTAAAAATAACACTTCCACAGTGCTGAGCTTCAGGCCCTTTCTTTTTTGGAGATGATTTTACCTGCTTTAGAAAATTATTATTACTGTAATATGGGGTAAGAGTTTAATTCTTACCAAAGCCACAAAATGTAAAAAAAAAAAAAAAAAAAGTCAACACTTTTTTTTAGTCATTTAAAATGAGCTGTTGATAAAATCTAATTGTGTTCAATTTCAAGTCCACAAAATGTTGAGGACGGTCCATTGCATTTTGTTCCTCCTTTCGAATCGCACGCCAAACCCGCAAAGCATCTCCTGAATCTGTCAGTACGGCCGGCTTGCGAGGCTTCGAACATCACTACATACGTCATCAACACAAGCCTTGATACGCGCTTCACAAAAATCATCCTGCATTACTTGACACACGCTTCGAAGCCTCGATACGGACGGACACATCACTACTTTTTTTAATTCCTGCAAAATCATGTATTGGATTTACATATTTCGCAATATGGTTCCATCCATCCATCCATCTTCATCCGCTTATCTGGGATCGGGTCGCGGGGGGAGCAGCTCCAGCAGGGAACCCCAAACTTCTCTTTCCCGAGCCACATTAACCAGCTCTGACTGGGGGATCCCGAGGCGTTCCCAGGCCAGTGTGGAGATATAATCTCTCCACCTAGTCCTGGGTCTTCCCCGAGGCCTCCTCCCAGCTGGACGTGCCTGGAACACCTCCCTAGGGAGGCTTCCAGGAAGCATCCTTACCAGATGCCCAAACCACCTCAACTGGCTCCTTTCAACGCAAAGGAGCAGCGGCTCTACTCTGAGCTCCTCGCGGATGGCCAGGCTTCTCACCCTATCTCTAAGGGAGACACCAGCCACCCGCCTGAGGAAACCCATTTCGGCCGCTTGTACCCGCAATCTCGTTCTTTCGGTCACGACCCAGCCTTCATGACCATAGGTGAGGGTAGGAGCGAAAATCGACCGGTAGATCTCTTTTCGCCACAACGGTGCGGCAAAGTGAGTGCATTACCGCCCCCGCTGCTCCGATTCTCCGGCCAATCTCCTGCTCCAGTCTCCCCTCACTCGTGAACAAGACCCCGAGGTACTTGAACTCCTTCACTTGGGGTAAGGACTCATTCCCTACCTGGAGTTGGCACTCCACCGGTTTCCTGCTGAGAACCATGGTCACAGATTTAGAGGTGCTAATCCTCATCCCAACCACTTCGCACTCGGCTGCGAACCGATCCAGTGAGAGCTGCAGGTCATGGACCGATGATGCCATCAGGACCACATTATCCGCAAAAAGCAGTGACGAGATCCCAAGCACCCCGAACCGCAGCCCCTCCTCGCCATGACTATGCCTTGATATCCTGTCCATGAATATCACGTCCGAACCCTCCGTTCCAGCACCCTGGAATAGACTTTACCGGGGAGGCTGAGAAGTGTGATACCCCTGTAGTTGGCACACACTCTCTGGTCCCCCTTTTTGAACAGGGGAACCACCGCCCCAGTCTGCCACTCCTTGGGCACTGTACCCGACTTCCACGCAATGTTAAAGAGACGTGTCATCCAAGACAGCCCCTCCACACCCAAAGCCCAGGTGGAGGGCAGGATGATGCCAACTAGAGTAACTACACTGAACAAAAATAAAACACTTTTGTTTTTGCCCCCATTCATCCTGAACTGAACTCCCAAGATCTAAGACTTTCTCTATGTACACAAAAGCCCTATTTCTCTCAAATATTGTTCACAAATCTGTCAAAATCTGTGTTAGTGAGCACTTCTCCTTTGCCGAGATAATCCATCCACCTCACAGGTGTGGCATATCAAGATACTGTTAAGACAGCACAGGGTTGCACAAGTGTGTCTTAGGCTGGCCACAATAAATAGGACTTAAACCAGCTTAGAGCGGTTCCTTTAATGCCAGTTAAATGTTCCAGTCTCTGTGATAGGATCTACAGAGACAAGTCCTTTGTCTGATGCAATTAGAAGATCATTTGTAATTTTCACTAGTGCTTAGTGCTGTCTCCTCCTACCCCCCCCCCCCCCCCCCCCCACCCCCCCAGAGGGCCTTATGGAAGTGAACATGACAGAGATCCCTATGGAGACGATAGAGCTGAAGTTCTCCAAGTTTTATGGCATTGAATTTGGAGGCCATTGGAAACCAAAGGACTGCAGACCTCGCTGGAAGGTAGGTTTATGCATTTTAAAAGTCTAGTAATTGTATAAACATGTAATGTACACTTAGTTAACAATATAAAAATATGTATATATAATATAATATAAAATAGAATGCAGTGTTTCCCCTCTTTTTTTTTTTTTTTTCCGGAAAAACTGTTAGTGTCGTGGAGCGGGCGTGTTACGGATATGTGGTGTTGTTAGGGCTAGGCGGTATATCGGTATAATGATTTGAATGAATTTCAAAAGAGATGTAAAATTGACAATATCGTTTATAACGATATAGTTTGATGTTGAGTTAATTAATTTGTTTCCGTAAAGTCCTGCCTGCATTTGCTCCCCTCTCTCCCTCACCACGCAGCCCCGCCCCTCCCTCTGCGTCTGCCCCCCTTTAGCTCACAACATGGAGGGATGCTGGTCGACACTGCTGAAGACTTTGGGCCTGTACCACGAAGCAGGATCTGAGCTTATCCAGATAACTTCGGGGTTAACCCTTGGTTTTCAGTACCATAACGGTGGTTCACTTCTTACTGGGGTAGATCGCCATGGTAACTTATGCTGAACGGCTAACCTGCTCCAGAGCAGGTTATGTTCCAGATAAGAGATCAACTCTATAAAAACGCTGCCTACTGACCAATCGGCTGTCTTGGGAAATGACATCATCATCTGTAGGAGATCCCACAGACTGTTTTATAGGCTGCTTTTTGTTTGCTGCAGTGATATGGAGAAACTTTTGTACAGCAATATCATCCTACAGAGACTGATTGAAAAGCCTTGTAAACTACTATTGTAGGTTTTTAGTTAGCCCACTTACTGCTTTGAAATGTGTTTTATATTTTTATTTGCTCCAAGTCTGTTTCACACAGCTTGTTGCAGACATTTAAATATATGGGTTTCATTTGTCTTTGTGAGGCTGAATACTATCAGCATATAGTTTGATATGGATTGAAATTAATTTTAATATGAATGTAGGCTATTTATTTTAGGTTGGTAGCTATCTTGTATTAGAGCAATTGGTCATGTACTGGCCCATCTTTTGCTATGTGGGCGCAGGTTATGTGCGGGGTTTTCAGTAGCCTAAATATCGAGATTCAGTCTTTCGACCACCTATTTGAGCACATTTTATGGCCTGAATAGATTTTTCATTTTGTTGCTGTATGAAGTTAATTTAGAACAATGTTTGGAACACTTTTGAGTGTGTTAAATAAATGAATCTCATTTTTTGAAGTGACAAGAAGTTCTTAAAAGTGAGTTGGATTGACCACTTATTCAGTGTCCGAGTCTTTTAATGTGGAAACGCTAAGACACAGCCGAGCTGAAAGAACAAGGCTAAGATTTTCATAGATGCCATAAGAACACATCAAATCAACGCATTATTATAGACTATGCGGTTCATTTAGGCATTCACACTGTCTGCAATTTTCTGTCTTCCTGCATGTGTCAGCTGCAGCTGTGCTATTTAGACTATGTCTATTTGTCTAATATTAGGCTACAGTTAGCTCCTGGTTTGTAAAATATGACTCTCTATTGCCAATGGACTTGGTTACAAGTCGCGACACAGTGGATATCTTACAAGCACAGACCAGGTAAAGCGGCAATGAACACACCAGTGCAGATGTCATTCGTTAGCTACCATGTTGGTACATGTGGCGCAGCAGCTGCTGTGAATGGAATTGCGGGTTGAAAAGTCCAGAAGACAAGTTTTTGTTTTTATAGCATAGCCTACTACTGATGGAGAAAGTCACTGCAGCAGACACACAGGGAGAGAGTGATGGCAAGAAGCGTGATATACAGATATATATTTTGTATTGGTATTCTGCCTAAAAGGTACCGGGATATAACTTTTGGTCTGTATTGCCCAGCCCTAGGTGGTGTTGTAGACGCGGTGCACTAATTTTTGCCTGTTAGACTCATCACTTTCTCCGTTCCTCTGCGACATCTTTGCTGCTCAAGTTACTACCTCCTGATCATAGACAAAAAGCTCATCATGGAGCTTGTTACAGTTATGCTACATTCACGTATTGGGCGACAAGACCATGGATAGAGCCCTATGAAGTCTGTTTACAATTGTTGCCAGATTCTGTTTTCTGTTTCTGTGTTTTACAATTTAAGCACATTTGGTCATCATAAAGAGTGTGTAATCATGTGGTATAATAACATTTCATATTCAACAATAATATTACATATTGAATAAATATCAATTAATTTGATGTATCATGCAGAATAGAAATGTTCAAATGTATGTGCAATTATTTATGGGGACAATTCACAATAAATGTATTGCAACAGTTCAAAAAAATACTATAATGCAACACTGAACAAAATTCTAAATGCAACCCTTTTGTTTTTGCCCCCATTCATCCTGAGCTGAACTCAAAGATCTAAGACTTTCTCTATGTACACAAAAGGCCTATTTCTCTCAAATACTGTTCACAAATCTGTCAAAATCTGTGTCATTGAGCACTTTGCTGAGATAATCCATCCACCTCACAGGTGTGGCATATCAAGATGCTCATCAGACGGCATGGGGATTGCACAGGTGTGCCTTAGGCTGGCCACAATAGAAGGCCACTCTAAAACAATGGCAGGGGAAACACTGTAATGTAAATTCTTCAGAGAAAACAAACATGGAAACCAGATGCATTTAGTAGGTATGGGTTGATGCTACTATTTGTGCTGTAGGTGGCCATCCTGATTCCATTTAGAAACCGCCATGAACATCTCCCCATCCTCTTCCAACACCTCATCCCCATGCTACAGAGACAGCGACTGCAGTTTGCCTTCTACGTCATCGAACAGGTATATTCTGTTGGTGTGTGTGTGTGTGTGTGTGTGTGTGTGTATCCTGCAGTGTTTGGGGAGGTATTGTTGTCCATCTACAAGTCATTCAGCTGAATTAAACTGTTCTGAGCTCATGTTTGAGAAGCTTTTTGGGTAGTGAAGACAGTTAAACAAGGCTTCCTATGACTTCTTTATTTCTTTGATAGTGGCACCAGGCTCATTGACTCAGAGAGTGTGTATGTGTGTTTAGAGTGGGAGCCAGCCCTTCAACAGAGCCATGCTGTTTAATGTGGGATTCCTGGAGGCTATCAAGGACTTGGACTGGGACTGCTTGATCTTCCATGATGTTGACCACATCCCAGAGAATGACCGAAACTACTACGGCTGTGGCCAGATGCCACGCCACTTTGCTGCCAAGCTGGACAAATACATGTACATGTGAGTGTGCCATTAACATGTAGATCTTTGTTGAGAAAATATAAAATACAAATGCTTGTAGATCTGTGTTTAACTCATGTGTTTTGTGGTTTGCAGTCTTCCATACTGTGAGTTCTTTGGTGGTGTGAGTGGACTCACCGTAGAGCAGTTCCACAAGATTAATGGCTTTCCCAATGCATTCTGGGGCTGGGGAGGAGAGGATGATGACTTGTGGAACAGGTTGGTCTACTTAAGGGGGGTGGACAGTGGATTCAGAGAGTATTCAGACCCCTTCATGTAGTAACTCAATTGGTTTTGTTCTTTTTTTGGGAAGGGATTTCTCCACGCACACTGGTGCAGGAATCGGCAGCTTTGTTTCCGCAAACAGAGCTTGAAGTATGCTCTAACAGACTCCCTAACAAAGATCACAAGCTTGATTATGACTGTCAGTCTCAAAGGTTAAATGTGAAATGTGATTTTCTACATCCTTGTGTGTTTCCAGGTGTTAGGGAGTTCTATTGCATATGTGAAACAAGTAGTGGGCAACTGTGGCTCAGGGGATAGAGTGGTTGTCCACTAACAAGAATATGCGTGGTTCGATCCCCGGCTCCTCCAGTCTGTATGTCGGAACTGTCCTTGAGCAAGACACTGAACCCTGCCTTTGGTGTGTGAATGTGTATGAATGTTATTTCGGTTCTGATGTGCAGTTGGTACCTTAGCCTCTGCCGTCAGTGTGTGAATGGGGTGACAGAAAGGCGCTGTACAGACCATTTAGTGTGTAGTAGTGTCTCAGAGGGAGGTGAGGGAAGTCTGATAAATGTCCTCAATAAGGCTGACCCGAATAGTCGAAGATTTGATGCTTTGATGGGCGGAGCCTAATTCGACTGTCAATCTCACAGTGGAAGCTTCGCAGTGAAACGAGGATCATGCTATTTTGGCGATATGGGGGTGCTCAACGTCTGATTTTACATTAACTACATCTCCCGATAAGTTAATATACAGCCTATTACAATATACATTTCAACGTTTAATGCTGTAAATAAACATGTAAAAAGAATAAAACTTTCAAATGTAATTTTGTAAATGTTTTTAAAGTGCGTGAATAAATCCAAAATTGTAACCCTAACCCTGGGTCGTCAGTGCGCAAGTGAAGGCGTAGCGTGTGTGTGGTGGCAGAAGAGGAACGCTTGCTGAAGAGACTGACCCCCGGCTTCACTGGTGTTGTCCGCACCTCGTGGGACTTTCGGATATTTTATCACCGTTGATGAACCACACAAATAATATATTATTGTTTTTAGACAGCCGGCTACTTGAAATGGACCCATGAGGAACCGCGACATGCGTGCAGTTGTCTGCAGCATGGCATGCACGCAAAACTCTGCACAAGACCGGTGAATGGCAGGCGAGAGAGGGAGAGAGAGAAAAGGGTCTTCAAAAAGCCTCAGTTTAGCCGGAAATTTACAGTGTAAGTTGAATGAATAGAGACTGCAGCTTCTCAAGATTAAAGCGGAGTCACCATGTTTTGACAAGGAAGAAAAATGTGTGGAATTAAAAAGACTATATTGGTCCGTCATAAGTCTGACAATGTTGTAGGAATGCAATGTTAAATCTGTGGAGTACTTTTAATAATTAAAGGAGCTGCACTCAACAAAATGTTTGCTACACTGTTTGTGTGAGGCAGGCCTTGATTTTTAGGGCCCGAGCATGACCGTGTGAGGTCCCTATTGAATTTGCTAAGATTATTAGGGCCTGAGCACGACCGTGTGAGGTCCCTATTGAATTTGCTAAGATTATATTTAGGGCCCGAGCACGACTGTGTGAGGTCCCTATTGAATTTGCTAAGATTATATTTTCTTTTTTCTGCAAAGTAGGCTCCATTGACGGGGCCTAAACATACTCGAAAACTCACCAAACTTTGCACACGTCAGGACTGGTGAAAAATTTTGTATTTTATGGGTTTCGCGCATGGGCGTGGCAAAATGACTCGCTAGCGCCACCTAGAAAATTGGAAAAAATTAGCCCCTCGTTCACGTTCAACCTACATGTACCATGTATCATATCAAGATGCATACCCTAAAGTCAACAGGAAGTCGGCCATTTTGAATTTTACGGCCATTTTTGGATGATTTACACACTTCGTACTTTAACAAACTCCTCCTAGGGATTTAGTCGGATCGACGTCAAATTTCTGCTGTGCCTTCTAAAGGCATTGACGATGAAAAGTTGTGCTATTTGCGAGTTTTCGTCAATGGGCGTGTCCGTGGCGTCGATGATTCGCTATGAAACAGGAAGTTGTTGTAACTTCAGTGTATATGCTCACATCTGGACCAAACTGTACATGTAGGATGAGAGTCCCGCCCTGAACACATGTACATGCCGACATTCACCCACAGTCATAGCGCCACCTGCTGGCAACAGGAAGTGACTTTTAACGAAGCAGCCCCCGCCGCACGTTTCACCTACGTGCACAAATTTTCTGTGGTACGTGTATCTTGTCCAGACGCACAAAAAAGTCTCTTGGAGCGATGCCCTAAAACCAACAGGAAGTCGGCCATTTTGAATTTTATGTCAAATTTTGGATGATTTACACACTTCGTACTTTAACAAACTCCTCCTAGGGATTTAGTCCAACCGACTTCAAATTTGTGCTGTGCCTTCTAAAGGCATTGAAGATGAAAAGTTGTGCTATTTGCGAGTTTTCGTCAATGGGTGTGTCCGGCGTGGCGTCAAAGATTAACTCTTCCCCATGACACAGGAAGTTGTTGTAACTTCAGTGTACATGCTCACATCTGAACCAAACTTTATGTGCTTGATAACTCTCCCACCCCGCAGACATCTACACACCAATACCGATTTATATTCATAGCGGCAAGTGCTATGTAGCTCCACATAGGGGACATAGGAAGTGACATATAGCACCTTCATGTGGCGTCGGAACCGCGTAGCAAATTCACAGCCGCACCGGCAGAGCTCCAGAATGTGCAACTCGGCCGGCTCACACCCGGACGCGCTACAAGTGCGAGGGCCCACCCAACGCTGCTTGCAGCTTTAATTTATAATTGTTATTGTTACAAATTTTACAGTGACCATGTAGAAACATAAATTGCATTACTTCAAATATGATGCATTATACATGATAGTTGCATAGGCCTACATCTAATGATGAACTTGGACACATCATCAGTGATAGTACCTAGGGTCACTGGGTGACCCGACGTGGAGTGATCAGTTCCTGGCCTGCGTCCAAGAGGCATCAGCCCACGTCTTGTCCCTCCTGATTGATGGCCATCTTGAAGCTTTCTCTGCCAATGGCTTTTCTTTTATGTGCACCAGTGATACCCAGGAAGGCTGTATGCCTTGCACACAGAGAATACAGTGTTACATCTACGTACATACATTTTTCCCCAGTTCCCCGGTCAGTTGAGTGTGGGAGGTGACATGGGCCACCTTGCTTTATGAAGGTTAATATCATGATGTAGTTGTGAGTCCAGTTTTTAACCAGTGTCAAGACACATAACCATTAATTTTTTCTGAATGTGGTACAACTGCGGACCTCTACACAGGCTGCCTGTGGTGTCTATAGTAACCCTCTGATTGTGTCTTCATGAGGTGTTTCTGGGCAAGCAATCACTGAACCAAAGATCTCTGCACAGGAGTAAATATTCAAGGCTCAACGTTAATTTTTTTTCAACTGGCCCCACCAGGTTTGAAACTTACTGGCCCCAAGACCATTTTTACTGTCCCTCCCTCTAAAAGTTATTTATCAGTGTCGCAACAAAACAAAAGGTTTATAAGTTATGTTATTCTGTTAACATGTTTAATCGTTTATTAAATACATCCTGGATATAAAAAAACTAAACTAAAATGTAATCAGGTTTCCATGGTAGCGACTTCTCAATCACAAGGTAGTATGGACTGCTTTATCATCTATTTCCCTCTGAATATTATTATTAATTCACTAAATGAACATCACGCTGTGTTGAAGAAGACTTGAAACTAGCTACTGAGACCATAAACTCATCAGGAAAGTGTTTACTGAGGGAATAAATCAGCTAAGAAGTAGCAACATTTTACCATCATTTCTAATAGAACCAGAGTTCTTTTTGCAAAAACAGTGGACTCGCCCCCTGCTGGCAGGTTTAAGTTACGTTGGCATGGTTTCACTTTCAGACTCAGAGGTTGCCGCTTGATTGAAATTAGAGAAATAACATTTGACAACCACTCATCACATTACTGCAACTCTAGATTGGCCAGCGGTGTGTCAAGTGCTGCAAAACAACTGCAGGATGCTGAGTTTCTAATGCAATTTTTTTGGATATGGTTTTTCAATACTAATATTTCTGCACTGGCCTGATTGGGCCAGTGAGTTGCTAGTTCAACAGTTCTGACGTTACTTTTTACTGGCCTCAGGCCACCGTTATTGTTGAGCCCCGATATTGTAATAACGGATTTATGCGCTGCTACCCTACAATAATATGGCCTGTTGCTGAATGTCTGATCACATCCTGCATTGACATTCTCAGCTACCTGTCAGGTAGCACATCATATTGCAACTACTTTTTCCAACTAAAGTACATAGCTGGTAACTAGCAGCCCGGACAGCTCTGCTGGTGAGGGATGGTAGCGAGATTTTGTGGTGGCGTTCATACTGTAAATGGAAACTTCATTTCCTCTGCAGCAGCAAACACAATACACAACCTCAATACTATTGAGTGAATGTGCTACACACAGGTGTTATTGACGTCTGATAGTGACGCCTTACTACCAGCCACAAAAAGACAAGACGATACTCAACACAGTCAGTCTTAAAAATCATTATTTTCATGTCAATGTGACCTGTCGAGCTTGATGTTACCAAAACATCTGTCCCCTCTCAGAATCTGTGTCAGACCTGCAGCTACCAGGTCAGGACTTGTCTGCAGCCCTAATAAATATCTCAGCACAGATTCAATATCAGTGCAGTGATTTAGATTCAGTTTGTGAGATGGGGGTTCAGATTAGTGTAATGTATGAAATTATACCATTGTGTCAGTAACATGTATAGAGTTTATGTACTGATATAATATTTAAGAATGGCAGTCTCAACTGACTGTTTGTACTTTTGTATTTTCAACTAAACAAATGTTTATGAAACCGTAAATATTCCTCATAGATTCAGTTCAGCTGAAGCTCAATAGTAATACAGCCTGGTTTTTCCTCAGGGTTCACTATGCTGGTCTGAATGTCACAAGACCAGAAGGAGAGATCGGCAAGTACAAGTCAATTCCTCACCACCACAGAGGAGAAGTGCAGTTCCTCGGGAGGTAAGAAACAATTTACCTATGAGTAGGGATGGGGATGGGTAATTAGGGCTCGAGCACGAACTGTGAGAGGTCCCTATTGAATTTGTAAAGATTATGTAATTTTTAGGGCCCGAGCACGACCGTGCGAGGTCCCTATTGAATTTGTAAAGATATATATATATATATATTCTTCTGCAAAGTAAGCTCCATTTTGTGGACCTAAACATACTCGAAAACTCACAAAACTTTGCACACATGTCAGAACTGGTGAAAAATTTCGTATTTTATGGGTTTTGCACATGGGCGTGGCAAAATGACTCGCTAGCGCCACCTAGAAAATTGGAAAAAATTAGCCCCTCGTTCACGTTCAACCTACATGCACGAAATTTGCTGGGGACATGTATCATATCAAGACGCACAAAAAAGCCTCAAGAACCCATAGCTCCACATAGGGGACACAGGAAGTGACATATAACAGCTTCATGCGGCGTCAGAACCGCGTAGCAAATTCACAGCCGCACCGGCAGAGCTCCAGAATGTGCAACTCGGCCGGCTCACACCCGGACCCGCTACAAGTGCGAAGGCCCGCCCAACGCTGCTTGCAGCTTTAATTTTATAAATAGTATTTTATATTTGAAAATGTTTTGAAGGAAACCTGGAGGAGCCCGTTTGAATGGGCCTGATTCAATTTTATTTATATAGCGCCAAATCACAACAGTTCTCACAGCGCTTTTCATAAAACAGCAGGTCTAGACCGTACTCTGTGATGTTATTTACAGAAGCCCAACAATTCCCACCAAGAACAGCACTAGGCGACAGTGGCAAGGAAAAACTTTGCGCTAAAACTCTTGCAGTGCCCCCTGACATTTTGTACCACGGGTCGGCCCTGAGATTGGCCCCCAGTCCTAACAGACTTCATTAAGTCTGTTAGGACTGTGTTAGTGCGCAGAGGTCCACTCAAACCAGCACTGAATTTTTCTAGAAGAGGTTTCTGTTCAGGCTTATTAAAGGGGCAGGATTGTAGTGGGAGCTTTGTGGTGTCAGGTGTGACTGTGCAGCAGCTCTGGAGTCGCAGCCAGTTTGTGAAAGAGTGGTAACGCAGCCGTAGAGTTTTACAATATAAACATCTGAAAACTGAAGCCAACTTTGCTCTGTTTGGGACTGTGAGCTGCATTTTATCAGAGGTGCAGAAGTTAACGTGTGGGATTGTGGTGAGATTTCTGCCTGATCAGAAGTGTTTCAGTTAGTTTTGGTGTCCACCTCCATGTCTCATTTTCACATACCTAAAGTCCCAAACGGGGTTCTGTGTCAGCAGAACAATAACGCAGACTAATCCTCCACACAGTATAGGAAATACACACTTGTCCTCTTGCGACTCAATTTTCCTTATTGGTATTTACTTTAACTTCTAGTGCTGTATTCAAACCTGTCTCGAGTGAATTTAAAGAGATACATTGTGTTTTGTAAGATCATTAGATTTGAATGTGTAGTACTTTTTACTTTTGATTACTTAAGTATTTGTAAAACCAGGTACCTTTTTTTTTTTTTACTTTTACTTGAGCAGGTTTATACTAGATGACTTTTACTTTTACGTGAGTAACATTTTTCATGTTGTATCGATACTTTTTACTTAAGTATCAAAATTGAGTACTTCTTCCACCACTGCTTGTGGTATATTTGTGAGGTGTTTTTAACGATTTCTGTCATCGGCAACTAAGAGACCAATGGAACATGCTGAAACCTCTGCATCTGTGCAGTTATCAGTTATAGAGCTAGATACTCATGAAAGCAGCCGTGTCTGTCCTTTAGCAGAATTTGCAGATGGCGTGGATAAATATTGATGTTAGAACTGTGTGACTTTGTGTTTGTAGGTATAAGCTGCTGAGGTATTCCAAAGAGCGACAACACCTGGATGGCCTCAACAACCTCCGTTACAGCCCCCACATCTCCCTCAGCAGTCTCTACAAGAACATCACGGTGGACCTATACCCCGAGCTCGCTCCTATAACGGACTACTGAACTGCCCCCACCAACCCCAACCCAACCTCTCCTCCCCAGCTCACCCAGCTCCCCTCCAGCCTGGCCTCCCAGTGCCCCGTTCAGCCATGCAGAGGATGGAGGAGAGGAGGGGGGCACAGGACAGGGGGGTGAAGAGGCGCACCATGTTAGCTGCCAAGAAATCTTAGTGAGGGGAAAAAAAGAAAATCCAAACTGAAAAAATGAGGTGGCAGTGGCAAGTCTGTCAGAGTTAACTGTGTGTGTGTGTGTGTGTGTGTGAGAGAGAGAGAGAGAGAGATGGGTGAGAAGCTGCATGTCTTTTTGTCCGTGCCGGCTTAACTACTGCAAGTTGACATGAGTCTTCGTTTAGGTTGGAGGGAGCAGCAGCATCTCAGCTCTGATGTTTACTGCAAAGCCTTACTGTGGCAGAACCACAGCTCCCTCTGCTCGGCTCTGCGCTGCTTCACTTCTCATGTATCACCGTCACCTTACAAGCCATCGTTCTACTACCATTTGTTTTAAACATATCATATATTAGGCCACAGTTTTCCTTTAACGGAGGGAACTGAGCAAGGTCAGCATTGATGTTTTTTTATTTTGATACGTGGTATTTATTTTCTCTGGTTCAGGGTGTTTGAAGAAACACTCATCTGTGTTTGCTGTTAGTTTTGCTGCACTGCTGCTGAATCCGCATGAACTCGTATGTAAATATCGGCCTCTTAAAGCTCGAACACAACACAGAAATGTAAATATGGGCCTTTATGCGCTCAGGCATATTCCAGCGATACTCCAGTGGGTTTGAATTTTATTTTGGCAGCTACCTTTGTTCTGAGGATTTAATAAGAGTGAGTGGTGTCTTCTATATAGGATGTTTGGCTTAAAACAGAACAAAACAGAAGTATCCAAATCTAAAGATTTGACATTATCTTTTGCATGCCTTAATTTATTTTGTTTACCTGTTTTTGTTCTTCTTAAGCATAAATTATTTCACCAGTTGGAGAGTGTATATTTTTTCATTTTGCCTTTTTTCTTTGAGGTGCATTGTGTGAAAAGAGTAGAGCTGCTGCTCAGAAAGAGGGAGTCCATAGTCCACAGCAGGAGTTTGTCCACAAAGCACACTTTAGTGCAGGTTCATGGTCTCATGTGAGTGTACATTTTTTTGTCTCAGATGTGTTTTTAGTTTATTTTCATTTTTTTATGATTTTTATTCTAGTGAGTTCTGGACATGTGATAAAGCTCTTCATTGTACTGTACCATGCTATGAAGCATGGGCATTTAAGCTGGATGCTGTGTGTGTCTGGACTGTGGTGTAATTATTTTCTTGCTTGAAGGGCCAGAATGAGAGAACCTTAGTGTCAGCTCCTCACAGCTGAAGCTACTGCTGTTCTTGAATGGCACATGCTGTGAAAAGTTTCATTTCTTAAAGCTTTGAGCACTATAAAGATGGAGTGAAACGTGTAGGCAGACGATATCTGAACAGATGTTCACTGTTAGGATTCTCGTCTATATCACCATATCTCTTTTAAATTGGACCGTGAATTGTGTTTTGGGACAATTTTTTTATTGTATGTCCTGCAATGATAAGTCAGAACTCAAACCATTTTGACCTGGCCATTATTTACCGTCTTATCAGACTATTTCATTCATGAGCAAGATTCTCACTTCTCTGTGAGACCGGTCCAACGACAGCCCATTTAGGTCTCTGGTGACCAAAGACATGTAAGAACTTCGAACCAAAGGGTCTCTCTGTGACTGCTGCTAAGACCCACGGCTACAAACCAATCAGAATAAGACATGAAACACACTGTCCAACCCAACAGATCTCTCACCACATCAGCTTACGTACTTGCGTCATGTGGTTTAGGTAGGGAATGAACTGGAGTTGGGTCAGAAGGATGTTGGCCATTGAAGTTGTGTCTGCTTGCATATTTCCTGTTTTCTTCTATATACGAACAGTTGGTTAGCTGATTGACAGAGTTAATCTGCAACTATTTAGATTACAGATGGAAGTCGAAAACAGAAATGCCAAATTATTCAGTCCATTTAACCAAATGTGAATATATGTTTAGGATAATAAAGCAAATATCTTTAGATTTTTGGTCTATTGGGTAGACAAAGCAAGCATTTTGAAGACATCACGTTGAAGTCTGGGAAATTGTAATTTTATAGGCAGACCAATGAAGGGATTCAGTGAGAAAATCAGCAGATTAGTTGGTTGCAGATTTTGTTTTCTATTCCCATTGTAGCACTGTAATTGACCAAGCATTCTAACGTGCCTCAACGGTGATGTAATGATGAATAGACATTATCATCTCATCTCAAAATGAACCTGTGCGATGGCCGCTGGCACACAGCGTGTGCAGTCATGCCCTCCTGTCTGTACTAGCCGGCAAATAAAAGCATGTCTTCTTTTGAAGTGGTGATACTCATGACATGACCAAGTGTTCCACTTGGTCCATGGCCTTGTAACCAAAGTGTTTGCACCAATGGTGATTTTGGTTTTAGGCTTAAACGTTACACATGTTGAAATGATGTTCTGTGTGTGCTGTTAATATTTGGAGTAGCACACACTTGAAAGCCTTACACAAATACATGTTTAGTGAAGCAGTTGATGAGGTTTTGTTGACAGTAGATAGATAGGTAAGATGAAGGTGAATAGGTTTCAGGTATGAAATGGCTAGAGTTATTTCTACAGATTTTTTCTTGTTTTAAATAAGGGTTGGTTAGCACACCAGGGTTCCCAGCAGCCTGTACGTTGTTGTTTTCTTCTCTGAAAAGCAGAGTGTCTGAACATCACACTGCAGTACAATGTGGCTTGTGTTCAGTTCAGCCACAAAGCTTTAACACTTAATAGCATGTTGATCTGATCAGAGAGAAGTGCAGAGTACCTCTGATGCTTAAGTTCACCCCTTCTAGCCGTGGTCTTTCCTGTCTGGGGAAGTGGACACCGAGCAGTGTTCATTTAGCAGATGCTTCTCTTGTGCAATGCCTTCCTTAGCTTAGTACCACAATTTTGCATAAGATAAGAGAGCAGCCCTGTTCTTAGGTTACTGGCTGTGATCTGACTGAGTGTTGTTGAGAAGAACGTAGTAGTCATAACTCCTGGTGATCAGCTGGTTAGGGTGTATACAAAACCATCATGCCATTAATTACGTGACCCCCCCCCCCACACACACACACACACACACACACACACACACTGCACATACACTTTCTGTTGATCTGCACCTCCTGTTCTGTTGCTACGGTATTCAGTACAGCAGTAATGCCTTAATTATTAACTACTGTTTGGAGTAATCTAAAATATCTTCAGAAGCAGTATTCAGATTTTGTAAAATTTCAAAAAGATGAACCCACTTCTTCTGAATGGTCTGGTACAATTAACAAAAGGAGTCAGTTTGAACATGACACTACGAAGAACATGAACTGCATGTTAGCGTTCCCTTTTACATGTGTAACTATCCAGCAAATGAAGAATGTTACAAACATCAACTTTGTCCAAACGGCTACAAAAAGACAGGCTTCATCATATTTTCTTGACTTCAGTATTGATTGAAGTAGTTGTTTCTACAATCTACAACCCCCCCACCCCCCCACACAGTTTGAGTCTCAGTATATGGGTACCTTGGCCTCTACACGTCTCTGCCTCGGTCTGTCTGTATTTCCCCCACGTCTGTAGTTTCAAGCAAAACAAACCTCAATAATTCTCTTCAGTATACTTCCGATTTGGGTGTCTCCATAGACAGTTGAGACTAGGGAGGAGCAACTAGAATGAGCCACAGAAGCCGGCATACAACTGCTTCCCTCGGTAGAGAAGTACTTGACTAGTACACCGATGATAAAACAGGTGGACTTCTCCTTCAACAACTGAAGCAGTGATATGTCACGGTCACGGAGTGTTTCCAAGCATGACTCTGTTAGGAGATGGCTGACAGGGCACTCAGTATGTAGCTCAGGCTGTGTTCCATTATTCTAATGGATCTAGTTTGCAGAATGCTAAAAGGGAAAATATCTTTGTATAAATATCAAAATTTTTCATATTCGTCCCTGGCTCTGATAAGCGTTGGGTGTCAGGCCAGTGGGTCCCAGTAGCTGTGGTTGACTTCACCTTTTATCACATGACTGTCTGAAATCCAAAAGTATCTAATACCGTTCAGATGATGTGTTCACCATTAGGCAACTCTATTCCATTCTACTGTTTTTTTATTTGTGCCTTGAGTTCTTTTTCTTTCTTTTTCACTTTACATTCTAACTGAAGAGATTAAAATTGGTTTTGTTTTTCCTGAATTGTCGATGATTTGTCACCTTCTTTAATTATATCAAGCCAGACTTGAAAAGTGTGACATACGTAAATGATGAGACTCCAAAAGATCAGTCTGTCTGCTCCAGTGTGTGGCTGCCTTGACATCATGTGTATTAACCCACTGTATCTCACTGGATGCGAGTCATGTTCAATGCAAAGACTGAGCTATGAGTGCAGTCTGCACATTTAATGTGTTACTTGCAGTTGAGGGTTCATCTTATTTGCCAACCAAACTTCACTGCCCACCAAAAGAATGAACACAAGCACATATCCTATCATATCGACAATTTTAAGCACAAAATTGCTTAAGCTGTGATGCTAATCACCGAGAACTGCATCCTAAAACCTTTTTTTGTAGCCTATAATTTGCATGGCCTAGCCTAGCATTACATAGGTGGTTTTAAAAAAAAAAAAGATAATTTCCATCCAGTTTCCATGTGCATGATGACCAGAGCTGGTAGACGGAAGCTTTGCTTTTGTGAACAGCGCTGCAGGCAGCTTCCCACTGACGAGCAGTTATTGAACAGCATTATGTTGATAGTCATACCTGTGCACCTGGTGCAACATGACTCCGCTTCAGACTGGTTATGTGATTGTTTTTGGCAACACTGTGGTCTTTATTTTTCCATGTTCAGCATGCACTTCTGTCATTGTATGAACATTTATTTCATTTGTTGACTCTGAAAAAAAGTTCATAATTAGAACCTTATTGGCTGACACTGATATATCTATGATAATTGGCCAGTATATATCTTGTCACAGATATCTCAATGCATATGCTGGTAAATAGAGTACAAGCATCTACAAATATTCAGATGTGTTGGATGACATTTAGAAACAGTGTTGCTGTTACATAATTTGTCCACCAGAGACTGCTGACAAGTTATTTTTCTTGACTCCAGTCTGGGTCACAAGTCTTTATGAACCAATTCATACCACACGGTACACACTGGAAAGAGCTTTCAGCCACATCTTCTGGCATTCACCTGCAGATGGAGAGTGCTCATAATAATGATAAAGAATAAAGGCCGATATATCGGCCGATGGTAGTATATTGCAGATCTATTGGTATCAGTGTATTATGGCAGCCAACAAGTAACTAGAACTTGTCTTAGAGAAATGACAAAGATATGTTGCCCCACATGGTTCACTAGTAGGCATTCTGGAGCTTTCCATTTTCTTCATCATTGTCTTCCATAGCCCCACTTATAACGTTTAAGTCTTTTTAATATTCTGAACATGTAGAATTCATGACAACAGGGTAAACCCCATCCAAACATAATGTGATACAATACAGAAGCTCCCTAACAGCGACTAATTGAACTTTTGGTGACAAGAATGCATTGTCAATCTTTGAATTGAATTGTTTGAATTTCGTTAGTGTTGCCTTTTACATGGTCCTCCAGAGAGCGCTAATAAGTTGCATTTAACTGTAAAATTTCCCACTCGCTACATATTTAATAACAAAAAAGACAGATTTAACCTCATTCCAAATATTTGTGTTTATGTAAAATTAGTATTGGTCTATGTTATCAAGTTTTGTAACCATTCGATATCAGCCTCAAATTCCAGTATCAGTCCGGCTTGAAGTACCGAACCACCTTCATTAAAACTTACACCATTGGCTGGTGAAGACCATGACATGTAACTGAAAGCCCAATAAACTGACATGCTAAGAATTTTGTTTCTATCAAACTGCTTTTTCCAAGGTCAATATTGAACCCTCAATATATGTTTGAAGAAAATCAGCTCATATATTATCAGAGTTTTTATGCATACCAGTATCGGCCTCTAAAATCCAGCATCTGTCTAGCTCCACTGTTACTAATTAAAATGTTGCAATGATTTTGTAAACATTGTTTATGGCAACACTGGTAGGTATTTGTTGGTGGCTGGATGTAAGCGGAGACATTTGCTAAGTAATGCACTTAGAGCTTTATAAAAAAAAAATACTAAAATAAGAAAAGGAATCATTTGCTCAGTTCCAGCTCAGCTCAGTTTGGGTGATTGACCACATTACTTCCATCACAGCTTGATGTGGGACCTGTAACATATTTTCTTTGTAGCTCTTTGATCCTCTGTATGTCATCATTGTATGATCACCAAGTTTTTCATTTCCACATGAGTTCATGTCGAAGAATAAAGCGGCGTTCTCCCTCAGCCAACCCTGTGAATATGCTGATGTAGCACCCACTCTTGACATGCTCAGTTTCTTCAGTTCTTAGCTCCATTGCCAGACTTCTGCAGTATTTGGTAACAGACAGTATTAAAACGGTATGAGTCTGGTGTTGAACTGTTACTTTGTAAAGATTTTTTCTTTGTCAACAGAAGACAAAATAAACACTTCATTGCCATATTCAGAAAAACTGACGTTTTTTTTCTTGTACTTATGACACATTTCACATGATAGTTGAAAGTTGAATTGCAGTAGTTTGTCAGGTTACTAATGCCTTGTATTGTATAAAGAGGGCCAGTATTCATAATTTGATTTTAAAACATCTATGATCATACATAAGAGAAAATCTAACATTTTTTAAAACCCTAAATGACATTGGTTGTGTGAAAAGAATTAATTCCATTCAGTAGCTTGTTTTCAAATACTTTTTCCTTTAATAGTCTCTCTGTTCATTTGTCAGTTACCTTGACTTGTTTTTGTTGAACAATCACTTTTGCACCTTTACCTTGAAATCCTTTCCCAGCATGAAGTACAGTTTGCATTGTACGGAATTAGGTAATGGGACGGTGTGCTGAAATTGGTTTTGTGTTGATTCATAGGGTTGGTCACTATACTCACTGTAGAAGCGTTTTTAAACAATGGCTCCTTGAGTAGTATCTGAGGAAAAAAGTGTGGAACAAACTAATAAATACTGTAATAATAATTGTTAATTATGTACAGACTTATATGCAAGTAATAAGCTTGTGTTGAAGCTCAAGTCACTGTTAAAAGGTAATGGTGCTTTCAGATCAAACGCAAATTTAATCCTTGTGACGCTTTCCTCAAGTGAGTACATTTGCTGCAAGTGCAAGCACACACTACACGAGAAGGTAGAACCCGTGAAAATTCGCTTGAGTTGGAAATTTTCAACTGCACCGCCCCCTTCGCATCACTTTGCGCCGCCTGACAGGAAATTGCGGCTCTAAACATCTTGCATGCATTGACTTTGTGTAATCTCACCGCCCTGAACGCAGGCTTCGCTTTTGGTCTGAAAGCACAGTAAGGCTTTTTATCAAACTGGAGGAAATGGTGCATTTGTTGGAGACTATTTACAGCGGTGGATGAATCCACATGTGGTGCTGTAGTGCGTATTTGGGGCAGCAGGACGGTGTATGTGGGACTAAGTCAGAATAAACTAGTGTGTGTGTTCATGGTGATGAAGGAACATGTCACCCAGTGCAGCAGTGAGGCTCACTGATGGGTTTAATAGTTTCTGGACAAGAGTGGAGCTCTATGGCTCAGAGGAAGAAGATACTTAAAGCTGTGAAACACACAAAATCCATACATTCAGTGTCCGCTTTGGTTCTGCATATGAGATTTGTTGAAGGAAAAAAAACTACATTTTCATCCTTATGCAGCTCGCTGTCCTGATGTCTCCACCAGACCATAAATATCCACAGTGTGATGTGTATCACTAGTGAGCATAAGTGACCGCAGCTGTGGTCGTGTAGGAGTACGGACTGAGCAGTAAGTGGTAGGGCTTTCTGTAACTCCAGCCTTAACCCTGCAAAGACTTCCTCAACACTTTCCCTGTCTTACACAGGTTCATCTGTTTGTTGAAAATGCATAAAACATAATTTGGACTGTCTGACATAAGCATCAAATATTGTTGTATTTGTTACATTTATTCGTGGACATAAGCGAATATGTGTGTGGTGTATTACGCAACATACAGCCAGGGATGGGGCAAAAATAGGACAAAATGTATTTTAAAATAAGCTATTGTAATTAACTACAATATAGCTGCAAGCTGCAATGATCAGTATCCAAGCAGGTCGCGAAAATGCAAATTTGAGAGAAGGACCAGATGCAGATGATTTAGGAGATTAAAGTGATGAAAGAATTTGGACTAAGTCAAGCCATTTTTGAGATAATTGCAGAAAGGCAAACTTTATAATTACAGCATCATTTTGAGGTTAAAGAGTGTCATTATATATATATATACCCCTGAGGGTGAAAGGTTCAACCCACCTGCCAGTTTTTGTGTTTGTGGAATGTAAACTCATTCTAATCGTCTTTGTTTAAAGCAAAAATGAAAGCAAAAAAAACACCATGCAGAGAGAATGGTTTAGACCTTTATATATATGGCATAATAATGCATAATGATATATTACAAATATATTCAAATGTAACATACCGCCGTTAACAAAAAATACACAGTATTGCCAAATGTTTTGGTGACGTTTGATCTAGTACTGAGCAAAAAAGAAAATGTTGTGCATACGTACAAATTACAGCAAGACACTGAATATCACTGTGGACTCACCAGTTGATCGATCTAAAAACCCTTTGAAACACTTTATCTGCCATCTAGAGAATGTCAGTTTTGATTTTGGAAGCATTTGAACGAAGATATAGATGTTAATTGATTTAGCATATTCTGAAAAGTATAGAAGTGACGGACTTCAGAATTGAAGGTTGCAGTGAGGCAAACATATAAAAAAGTTCCGCTCTCCAGGATGTATGGGTGATTTGAAATGAGAAATTTCTAGAAATTTATATTTTTTGTAATAAGCATGCCCACTTTCAGCAATCATTACTAAATTTTGTTGTACGAGATATAAACTATCCGTACAGATGTTCTAAGTTTGGTTATAACAGCTAGGCCAATTTTTATTTATGTACAAATATACGTTAAGACCCAAAAGTAAAAAAAGAAAAACAGATTGATGTATCAAATTGTTTAATAACTTCAGATCAGTGAAGTCTGTAGATTTTTTGTATTTTTTTGAGTAGTGGGTGGAATTTTCAAACCACCTGTCAATTTTGGTGTGTTTTTGCTGCACAAACAGTTTTAGCAGAGAAAAGTAAGAAGAGTAGATCTGTAAGCAGGTTTCAAAGGGGTCCAAGCCCCCAGGCGTAAGCCGCGCCCTGCTGCCTGCCGAGGAGATGCAAGTTGGACCTGCAGTCCTGCAGTAAAACATTTATTTAAGACTAGCTTCGAAAAGTAATCTAAGCATATTTTGAAATTTGGCCTAAAAAGCACCACCTAGTGGCCGATTGATGCCAAATTTTGCACACATTCTTAGTGAGGCATGGGAACGCAATAGCATAAGTTTTGTGTTAACTGTACAGACCTATGCAGAGATATAATTTCCTGTTTTGTCCTTGACATTCTAGTTGTCTTTACAATATAAGCAATTACTGAATTATTAAAATTTTAATTATTTTAATAACTTTTGATCATGAGGGTCCACAGATTCTACATTCAAAATTTGGTGCAGACCGAACTCTCCGCTTGGAGTAGTAGTAATTATAGGCGGAAATGGCACGGCCTGGGAGGAGTTAAAAAAAGTAGGCTTTGCACATTTCCCGATTTTGCAGGAAAAAATTATACGGATATAGGCATGACCTAAATATGGATCTGGCCTATATCACGACATGCAGTTTTTGAATGTGCGGTGTACTATGTGGGAGTTATGGGCCAAAATCTGTTTACCTTGATTAAAAGTCTACCTGTTGGTTGACGTTTGATTTTTCTTTTTTTTTTTTTGCATCTAAGGTGTCTGAAGCAGTCTATACCAGCTCTGTGAATTTCACTTACAGAATTTTTACGGATTAGGCTGCAGTATGACTTTTACTTAAGGAAGAATACAAAAAACCCCAAAAGTAATAAAAAATCTGACTGATTTCAATAGGCTTCCCAGCACCACTGTTACTGGGATCCAGTTACTGGGATCTTTCCCCCTCCAGCTTGGACCCCTAATTATGATCAGTTACGACGAAGTACACTAATCAACAATGGAAAAGAAAGTGCAGGAAACTGGACTGAGTGCAGCAGACCTGAAAATTATCAATGGCCACGTTATCTCCCGTCAAAACAAGCAGAACAGCCGGACTAAAAGTCGGTTACGCTTACCCAGGTTGGATGTAAGGGTTTTCCCAACCTACTCTTGGCTAATGTCGATGATGAAATAAGACTTAGACAAACTCAGCAACGGGAATTCAGAGACTGTGCCCTTATATTTCCTGAGACCTGGCTTCACAAGAGCATACCAGAGGTAGCTATTACACTTAAAGGGAGGACCGTCTTCTGCACTTACCAGAGGCTGGTAAGATGAGGGGAGGAGGACTGTGTTTACATCAACGATGCTTGGTGCTCAAACGCAGTCAAGGTGGATGGACAATGTTTATCAAATGTGGAATTTTTATTAAGTTGTCAGCCATATTATCTGCCAAGATAATTCACCAGTGTTTCTGTTACTGCTGTTTACATTGCTCCAGATGCAAATTCAGTGTGCCAATCAGCTGACATTTTCAACATCTTACTGTCTCAGGAGAGGGTTCCCACCTGCTTCAAGGCAGCCACCATCATTCCTGTAGCTAAAAAGTCTGCAGTGTCTGGTCTGAATGACTTCCCCCCTGTGGCTCTCACCCCTGTTAGGTTAGGTTAACTTTATTGTCCCCAAGGGTAAATTCTGCTTGGCACAGTGCAGTGTTGCTTCATAAAAAACATCACAAAAGACATCAACAAGAACCTGAGAAGCATCGACATATACTTCACAAGAAATAAAATTCTGATGAAGTGCTTTGAGAAACTGGTTCTTCAGCACATAAACAACAACATCCCAGCCAGCCTGGACCCTCACCAGTTTGCTTTCAGAACCAACAGATCCACAGAGGATGCCATCTCCACTGCCCTCCACTCAGCCCTCACACACCCTGAGAAAATGCTGTTTGTGGATTTCAGCTCCGCATTCAACACTATCTCCCCATGAAACTGATCAGCAAACTCAGCACTCTGCAACTGGATATTGGACTTCCTCACAAACAGACCGTTCGGATTGGTGGACACACCTCCTTCACTCTAGTGCTCAACATCAGTCAGTTCTGGGATGTCTTTCATCAAAATGCCTGCTGATAATTATATATACAGTGAAACTGGCTCACATCCAAGGCAAGCATGCAGCAATGAGAGCACTTGCTTTCTTCCTCTTTTAAGACACCATCCCTCCTGTAGACCCCTCCCTCATTATATATGCTTTCATACAAAAACTAGAAAATAAGACAAAGTATTACAGCACAGTCATGTGCAGAGGTGACACACTTACACAGTATACAGAATATACTTAAATGAAATGATGACAGTATTCAATTTTCTTAAATTGTGTTTTAATAAAAATTGAATGGTAATGGTAATTTTATATACTG